GATCAAGTGGATTAAGCGGATCAAGTATGGCGCGTGCCTTTCGTTGCACGACATGGTATGTTTGGACTGGCCACTTCGATTTCTAACCATTCCCTTATCAATTAAGAAGAGTTTTCTTTTTCCTTATTTTTCTCTTTCATTCGTTTGTTGAAATCCATAGTCTTCCAGACTATCGCGGATGTGATTCGCACCAGCCTTGGTCCTCGAGCAATGCTCAAAATGCTCATGGACCCCATGGGCGGAATTGTTATGACCAATGATGGAAATGCAATACTCAGGTAAGCTCATAGGTTCGTCTTGCATCTGCTGGATTGACAGCCTGATGTCATTCTGTTGTAGAGAGATTACCGTGAAACATCCAGCTGCGAAAAGCATGATCGAAATTGCCAGAACTCAGGTAATTGATAACTTCTCAGATTTTCAATAGTGCATTTCATAACATCATTGGCATATTACATCGCTGCTTCGTATTAGATAATCTCTGAGAAAGTTTTGAGTGAAAATTTCAAAATTTTTGTGAGTAATCTATCTTGAAGGACGAAGAGACTGGAGATGGCACTACGTCGGTGATTGTACTAGCTGGTGAAGTTATGGCTCAAGCACAGCCGTTCCTTGAGCAGAAAATACATCCCACCATCATTATTCAGGTGTCAAACAGTTCATTGGTATATGAATTATAACTAGTTGTGCGTTTAGGCTTACCGCGCTGCTTTGGAAGATATGGTAAAACTTGCTGAGGAGAAATTTAGTAAGCCTGTTGACATCAACAATGAAAAGGAGGTAGGTATAGCAGGCACAGATTGTTGGTTAGTCTTGGTGAAATGCAATGTATTCAGGTTACCACCGTTGTCAAATCTTGTCTTGGCACAAAAATGATCAGCAAGTGGATGGATCTCGCTGTGCAAATCTCGCTTGATGCCATCAGAACTATCAAGGTAGACAAAGGAAATGCTAGCGAGATCGACATCAAGAGGTGAACAGTGATTTTTTTAATCTCACTCTTTCTTCTTGCCCATTTTTTTCTTTGTCTCGACTTTTTTCCGAGATTGGAATGGAAAATCGAATACAATTCTATTTGCATATTGCAGGTATTGCCGCATTGAGAAGATCCCAGGTGGCACAATTGAGGACTGCAAAGTGATTAAAGGAGTTGTTCTGAATAAGGTAAGGAAATTTCTTGAGTTATGTATCGTTTGTTCCCCAGCAAGGTTTCCATAGATACCACGTCATCTCACTGCTTTTCGCTCTTTTGAACATGTT